GAACCATGATTGACTGATGGTACTTATGCTGTCAGATGAGAATGCAGGTATGCTGCAGAGAGCAGTGTTTCCCCACAGATTGACACTGTGGCAGAGGCGGGGGGGTGGTTATGCCGAATTTTGCATGCCTGCCGAGAATTGCATGAAAATGCATTAAAGTTCTGCTTTTAAACGCTATACTATTCAATAGTGATAAATGATCAGTATATATTTTATGAACGTTAAGAATCGTTATTATTACACTTACTAAGATTCAGCAAAAACGTGGCATTATCCTCGTTCAAACAATATGAACAGCAAAGTGTCCTAAAAGGACCATAATAAGTGAATGCATAATTCGGCTAAACGGATGTTGTAGGCTACCTGCCGAAATTTGCATCTACCTCTTTTCTCTGTTTAAAAGAGCGCTGGCTTCTGCAGTTCACGGCAGGCATGCACCTGCGCTGCAAAACGTCACTAGACCTCGTAGGAGCAAGGCCTGATCGTTGTTCTAAGCTCACGCAGTCTACCAGAGGCAGATTGTGTCTGACTTAACGGCGTTGTTTTTATTCCCCTATTAAGTCGGCGAAAAGTCAGCCAGTTATGTGGAACGCACCTGTTGACTACCAATTATACAGCGTGCTAACTTCAACAGCTGTTTTCCAAAGCTATCCTTATTAGCTAGGCTCCTTACATGCTTGCTATTAACTGTTTTGAAGATGGGTCTCCGACATTGACAACATTGTGTTGGACAGATTTGTGCAGCGGTGTTTATGATACCAACCATTAAAATCACAGACAGGTCTGTTGTCCGTGTTTGCGAGAGAGAGAGAGCAAGCGAGAGGATGTGCGCTGCAATCAAAAACAAATTTTAAAATGGGTCGCCAAATTTACTTGGGCGACTGTTATTCTACCTGGGCGGCCCGCCCAAGTAAAGCCTATGTATGGGAAACACTGGAGAGAGGGGACAAAAAACAAGGACAGCTGGAGCAGATATCAGAACATTGTCATATTTTTCTAATATTATTTAAATAATCGTCACCATTAATGTTATTCTTAACCCCCAATCTGCTTGTCTTGATATTCCCCTAGAAACCTGTGAAAAATGGCTCCACTTTTTTGTTGACACAACTGTGAACATCAGATCTCACCCCATCCTTTTGACCCGTCATCACCGTCACAAGCTCTCTGTTATAACCACTCTCAGCGTCTCTTACTCCTCTGAAGGAAATCATTGATGAGATGAAATTTTCAGCTCGTCCCACAGAGGTTGTACCCCCTCGCCTTTTTAACTTTAAACAGCATCTTAGAGCCAAGAGGAAGACAGCAACGCTGTGTGTTGTTCGCTTCTCCAACATTACCTACCCAAGCTTTTATGTGGTATTCTATACCACATACAGTATATGCGAGGTCGCTATGCAGCGATAAACACTCTGTAGCACATTACTGTGACACAGTCCAAATCTGCAGTGGGAGGCTGCATGAACACTGCAAAGAGGACTCGCCTTCAGTTGTTTTTTGTCTTGTTCCGATAATTGGCAAACTAGCAAAGCAGCTCCAAACAGAGAGGATCTCAGCGCTCCTGCAACTAAAGCTAACATCACAACAACAGCATGTCTTGGTGAGCTAGAAAGTAAGCTGGATGTCTGTGGTTAAGTCATTAAATGTTACTGACACACAAATCATGACTGGAACTGCTGGGGTAGTGTTGTGTGGCAGGGTGCAGGCCACTTTGTTTCCCCATTTACAAAACCAGGGCTGAGTACAAACACTGGTGCACGCGCACACCGTTTTAACGTAAACAGCCAGGCAGAGATTCTGCATCACAAAATATATTATAAAACTTTTACTGTAAATTATTGTTCTCAGGAAATAACATTTAACAAATAACTCAATAAGAATCAGACCAAGCATTCATTACAACATTCAGTTTTCCAAACTCAGTTCTAAAGACACCAGCCAGTCAGTTCTCAGACTAAATATGTAGCCCTAAACAAAACTGCAGATTCACACATTTGAGTAACATTTTACTTTTTGGGTCTATAATTTCCCCAGAAAGAACTACTTAATTTGGTACCAACTGAAAAACTAGTCCATTTAAAACAGTAAATACTTCTGCTTTGTTCAGTTATTATTGGAAACGTTATCCTCAACATTAACTGAAATGTATGCTTGCCTGAATGCAGCCTGACCTGCTGTGCAATGATGACTAAAAGACTCCAGGTCACACAAGCAATTATATTAATTTATGCAAAAATAATGTAGTAGTAATAACTTCCTTGAGTGCCAGGATGATGTCATGAAATGTCATGTTTTGTCCAACCAACAGTTCAAACCCCCAGAAACATTCAGTTTCATGTAATGTGAAGGCAAGAAAAGCAGCATTCACATAATAAATAAAGATAAATAACCTAATTATTGCTCTAATAAAATGGAGTGGACCAGTTTAATATGGTCACTATTTTGCTCTGAGCGTCAGTTCGGTAAAGCTTCAGGCATGTTTTTGCTGTTGATGTACCTAAATGTAGCCATTTAGTAAATCCGCCACCAGTGTTGACATTTTGCAGGAGCTGGTTTTTGTTCCTCCGATCACTCTGTATATCTATATTATCTTTGCATACCTGTGTACCCTGTATGTACACAGGTATGCAAAGATAATTTTTCTTGAAAGACTACACTTAGTTATAAAATACAAGTCTTCATAGAATTTTACCCTAAAATTAGTAGGAAATTAGAGAATTTATTAAACTGTGGTTGACATTTTCAAGGTTTGTACATCAGCTGTAAGGCTCCTCTACCCACAGCTACCCTTGAAACCATCTCTGCGCCCTACACAACTAACATTTTATGCATCTCGTTTATTGTCACCTGTAAGGGCCACAAGCAAAACAGCCACACTGAAGGACACTTCCTGCTGTGGCAGCAACACACACTGGCTCATGACGCTATATAAGAGAAGTGCGCTGACGAGATAGCGAGTTACTTTACAGCACAAGACACCATCACACCAGAGGGGAGACAATTAGTAGAATAGGGAAGTACACAACAGAGAGTTCAATGTAAGCACAAATGTGTCACATTAAGACTAGGTGTTAAAGGCTGAAAACTACCGAACAAAAGCTCTTTATTATCATCAAGGGATACTCAAATTACCCAATAAAACCCAAATTAGAGTTTGAGGTGTCTTATGCAGATTGAAACATACATTAACCAAACTGAGCAATTGTGAATAATCAATAGTTGATATTTTATAAAACCTCACTATCTCCTCTCCCACAGACAAGTGGTGCTCTTCTGCAGTGGATATGAGAGTTCCCGACTCATTGAGCATCATTCTAACCAGTGTACAAACTGAAACATGATGCACAATGCTACGTTATAGCAAACAGTTTACAGTTTAGTTTGTACCATGCTATTATAACATTAGACATAATTATGCAGCATATTTTGTAGACTCATGTTTAATCAGCATGACCTAAATAGCCCACAGACTCTTGTGTGACCTTACAGAGCAATAAGCCTGTCACACTGTCTCATTGTCAATTTAGCCATCTCTGCCGCCACAAAGCCAGGCTCAAAGAACGTACGCCAAGTCCTAACATCATTACTAATGCTCAGAGACAATAAACACCAGTCACGCGCAGTGAAAAGGCGAGGCGCCAGATAAACACCCACTGAGAAGTGCAGGTCGACACACTTGTCCATATCGACAGGGGGGGGGGCAGAGGCGACAGTACAGCAGGCAGCTAGCCATCTCTACCAGCGCTTCGTTTCTCTCCGGATTAATGGTGTTGGTTTTAGTAAACCACTCAGGTTAAGGTCTTAATAAAGGCTAACGTAACATTTCACAAGGTGCTGAACTTACTGTTCATTGATTTAATGTTGCTGAGATGCTACGGTTTCCATCCAGTGGCAAAGTAACGTTAGCGGTACATAATGAAAGAAGACTGACACTGAATTTTTTTAGACTGGTACCAAGTTAGTGTTAGCAAATTTAGTTAAGCCTTTTTGGGAATTAAGATGCTAAGTTGCGTGTTTCTCTTGTCGGTGTTTGGTAGTAAAGTTAACTAATTGTAAACAGTATACAGCTAGAGGTGGTTAACGTTACTCTTGATAAATTAACCACGTAACTTAGCTGCTAGTTTTTCAAGGAACAATCGCACCGGTTAACACATCACATACGGTACGAAGCGCCATGCTAACAAAACTTAGCAATCAAAGTTAGCTAGCACGTTGCACATGAAGTGATACGGCGGAGGCGATACTGAAATTAACCCACCCCACCGACAAAGCTATCCGTCCAGCATTAGCAAGCTACCACGGACGTTGCTCCAATTTATTGGATGCTGACCTCAACTAGCTAGCAGCTAATGCTAACTACCGTTGTGATCACTTCCAGGACGTTACCATATGTGAAGTTACAGACTCCAGAAGAAAACTTGACAAATTTACGTTACAGTTTCTTAGCTTAGTTACTTCCAACTAACAGTTACAAATACAATTCGGCAAACTAGCATCCACCGGCAGCATATATTTTACGTTAACGTTAAATACCAACTTTTAGAACCGGTTCACGCTGCTCAGCAGCCGTCCGCCGTGGTGTAACTTCACGTATTAATGTGAGGGAAAGTAGTCGCGGTAAGTAACGTTACCACACCAATCTGTTGGAAAAGTAATAATCCCATAAATCAATAGTTTGACGTATTAACGTTAAAGCCACACTGGATGCATGAGCGTGTCTGGCTAAATGTAAGTGAATAGAAACTAGCTGTTAAGTCATAATATAGGAGTATTTTTTTTTATTTATTTACCTATTGGCTAACTCACAATCCATTGTTTGGTATTTTAATAGGTTTGGCGTTCTTCCATGGCAAGAGTGGACGCACGTACGGACGCTAGGAAAGAGCTAGCATTAGTTAGCGGCTAACCGAACAGACAGCTAGCGGCTAGCTAACCACCTTGCTGTCGAAACGAACAATCACGTTGTGGGGGGTGTCTTAAAAATGTAAAACATTCCTTACCTCCCACTCGGTACATGTTGGCCGCCATTCTCTCGTAATCTTTATCAAAAGCTGTCCCAGGGTATTCCCCGCTTGGGTAGAAAAAGGTCGATGGGATCTATTTTATTCCTTCATTTATCGTAGACACCCCCGCCGCGAAACAAAGCCGGCTCCGGGCACAACAAGCCGAGCTGTGGCGGGCAAAAAGTTGAAAGTTTCCGTTAGTAATGCTCCGGAGGTTAGCCCCCAAAAATTTAAGTCTTTGTTTTCGGTCCCTCGGACGACCTTCCTCTCCTCTTCCTCCCTCACTCACTCATTCACACACAGCTAGCCTGTCTCTTACTCCACTCTTCCTCCCATCCTCCGCTCCCAGCTTCATCCTCCTCTTCTTCACCTCCGCTCAGTTCAACACACACTCGCACGCAGAAAAGCACACACTCACTGCCCCCCTTCGTTCGTGCGCAAATCGTCATCTTCGGAGATGGTCGACAATCTCCGGTATCTCACAATTAACTTTTTCACTTGTCCTGGTTTAATCAACCGATTTATAAAACGAAAAAAAACAAACGCACGCGCGCATGACTACGATGTAGACAATTGGTAAAAGAGGAGCTAAGGTTTATTCACAAATGCAGTTTCCACATATTACACAAATGCACAGAGTAAAGGAAGTTACCACCAGATATAGACAAAGCTGGACATTGGGAATGTACCCAAACACATACAGCAGAAGCAAAGAAAACATGCCCCAAAATAAAAATCCTGAAAGCATTATGGAAATTATTATGCAATAGGTTATAAGTAATACTGTTGCATGGTGCATGTGGAGCAAGCAGAGGGGTTTCACATTACTGTTATTACACTAACACTCAGTGTAAGAGTGATTACTTAAAGCAGACCTTCTTTAGCTTGTGACCCCTTAAAATGAAGCATGTCTATGAGCTGTGAGGTTTTATCTTGTAATTTACTTGAGTATTTCCATGTTCTGCTGCTTTAAACTTCAACTCAAAGATATATCAGAGTGAAATACTTTTTTTGTTTTGCTTTTTGTCACTTCTTTTATTAAACTACAAGTACATTTAGCCCCATCTCATCCAGCTGAGCACAACAAGCTGTTAAAAACGTTAAAATTATGGTTTTGTTAATGCATTAGTAATAATAATCCAATTGTTATAATATATGGTATAAAACTGTCAGAGTGGCCATTGTGTACAGCAGTACACTAACTTTTAATTCTTAAAAACTTTTATTTATGAAACTTTAATATTTTCAAGTCAAATTTTTAGTTCCTGAATTTAGTTACATTGTTACCACATTGTGATATTGCTACTATAGTTTAGTAAAGGATCTGAGTCCTTCTTCCACCACTGTTGAGGGTATGTGATCCTGAGGGTTGAAACCACAGAAAAGACATTTATCAGCAGTTTGTAACTGAACTGTTCACTCTGGGATGCTGAGGTCTGGGACATGTAGTTTTGGAACCTGCCTTTATGCAACACTGCCCACAATTACTGGAGCAGCACTGCCCACTAGTGACACTTCTCACACAATACACTTTCCAGTCATCAGGTATTTTATTGGGAGCTTGACAGATAAAACATCACAGTATTCCCAATGTTGTCTTAAATATATAAAACTGTACTAAAGTAATTAACATTTCAAGTGTACTTATCTTCTGTTAGAGAAATTAATTAGTCAGAAATGCTGAGAGTTGATTTCACTGGAACAGGTTTCTCACAGTCTAACGCAAGCATGAAAACAGCTTCAGTATTCATTGATGTCAACCAAACACTGCTAAAATATAAAACATATGCAGAAAAGGTTATGAAAGGCCAGATGGCGTGTGCCACAATGCAGCACTTTGGTAAGTGTGATTAAAAAGATGAACTAAAACACGGGAATGTTTACTGAGACCAAAGTCTTAGTCACCATAGAAGTCAAATCATGTCACCGAACACACATGACCACTTCTAATGATCCTCACCACATATCCAACAGAAGGAACAAATCACACTGTCCAGTTTCACAAGGATGTACATGTTTATGGAGGTGTGGAAGTGTAGATTTCATATGGACATTTGTCCTGGAGAGGACTCCTCACATGTTCTGTATGAAACTGATGCGGCAGTGGCCCTGCAGAGGTCCGTCTGAACCGATAACTGTGGCTGCTGTCCAATGACTAACAGCCTCTCTGGCTGTGTTTAAACAGTTGAACCTCTGTCACAGTTAATTACACGTGTCCTTTCTAGCTGGTGGCAGGTTCTGGAGAGCTGGTGGACGTGGACGAGGCCGAGGCCAGTCTCTCCCTGCTGTCACCCACCCCTCCTCCCATCACCCTCCACTGAAGGATGCAGGTGTCCTTCCCGCCCATGGAGAGGAGATGGGAGTCATTGTGGGTGAAGCAGACGTTGGTGACGTGGCTGCCATGGCCCTCGTACTTGTGACTTGGTGCCTGGAGAGGAAAGAAAGAAAGAGCCATTTTTGTTACCACGTTGAACCACACTGTCAACCCAAGTGTGTTTGCATGCACTTTCAAGACGGTTCCTAACTTCAGCTCGTCATTTTCAGTTCAATTTAATTCAATTCAGTTCAATTTAAAGGCACTTTCGTAGCATGGGAATCAGACGTTTACGTTACATTACATTTTCCCTCTCCTGTCAATCGCACAAGGTTTCCATCAGTCGATACCCAAAGCCCAGGTATTGGTATCGCTATCAGGAATAAGTCGTGTCGATGCATCTCTCGTCAGGAGGTATCAGAAGTCATTATTGTTAACATGTAGAATGGAAAAAGTTTGAATTTCAGACGGTGATCATCATTTACATTTATTCATTTAGCCGACGCTTTTGTACAAAGCGACTTACAATTGCTATATATATCAGAGGTCGCACGCCTCTGGAGCAACTAGGGGTTAAGTGTCTTGCTCAGGGACACATTGGTGGATGTGTCACAGTGGGGGATTGAACCTGGGTCTCTCACACCAAAGGCATTTGTCTTATCCTGTGTGGCATCTCCACCCTCATAAAAGAAACTTAAAGCAGTGACAAAATGTTGCTCTGCTACAGTAAACTGTGAATGTTTACTGAAGACAGACGGGTTTGTCTAAATTTTTGTTTGCATGTGTCAATCCTAAACAGGGTTTTCCGCTTTGTGTTAAGGAAGCAGTTAAAGAACAATATTTGCTCTGAAAGTAATGGCAGCCAAAGTAAACAGGCCGGTTTCCCTCTAAAGTAAGTGTGATCTATATGAGCGGTACCTTAGGTTTAGGACAGGGGTACTGGAAGAGGTGGACTTTACAGAAGTCATCAGCCACGGCCACCACCCTCTCACTGTGAGAGCGACACAGGGCGTTGATGTCTGTGCCGTCTGAGCCCTCCATCCACACACCTGGAACACCACAGCAACACAGTCATCCATCTGACTTGACAGAATAACACCAGCTTGTTCGGGGCGACTGAAGTCACAACACATGAAAGAACAAACATGTTTTATTTCTTACCAATGACGTGGAAGCCCAGCACACACGTATAGGAGGCCCATTCTCTGTCTTTACTCTCAAAGCGATTCCTCAACAGTTTACATCCACCTGCTATGTCCCCTGTCAAAAATACATTCATCTTCAGAGTCACAACAGCAAATTGTCATGCAGTTTGAGGATTTTAGTCCAAAAAAGACACATGTTCACTTACAGTAAAGGATCTCATAGTCGCCTGAATTAGACATGATGTACTTTCCATCTTTGGACCAATCCAGGTGAGTTATGAAGCTGGAGTGACCCTGATTGGACAGATAGGCACAGGCAGTGTCACTTAATGCTCTATGGCCCTGTGAAATCAATGTTGTCAACAAGTCTTGTGTGCAGACCCAAACCAACAGTGTGACTGACCCTTCTACAGTAGACAGGTGAAACTCTGGATAAGGGATCTAATTCTGTGTTTGCAGTTAGATTCACTCTGAGGAGTACACATTATACCAGACATTTCGTCAAGACTGGCAACTATTTATCACACATGTGGAGAAGTGCACACACATTGACTGAATGTTGCTGAAACATCACCACACATTCACGGTTTTGTATTTTATTTTATTTTAAACTGAATATGTTTACTTATTTATGTATTATTTTTTAATTCTTGTTATTCATTTTCTTTTCAGGACAAGCTGTGTGGGTAGGTAGGAGGTTTAGTGTTGTTGAAGTGTTCTCCATATATATTATTATGACAGGGATTCAGGAACAAGATCACGCCTCTCTCTCTCTCTCTCTCACTAATCTAATCCAACCTCCTGCGCCTCACTCAATTCCCTCAATTCTGTGCCCCCCTAATCCAATCACCTGTACATACGTGAATATAAACTCGTCTAATCTCTTTCTCTCCCCTTCTCTAAATGGGCAGCACAGTGGCCCTGGGTTCGAATCTCGGTCATCCCTGTGTGGAGCTTGCCTGTTTCCGCTGGGCGCTCTTGTTTCCTCCTGCCTTCCTTCCTCAAAGACATGTCTGCTACAGTTACAAATTCCTCCAAAGTATTCATATTCTTTTTCTACCACAGGAACTGCAGGGGAATGATACACTGTAAAAAAAATCTATAATTTTAAAGTTTTATTCCTTTTTTTCCCTTGTATTTTTAAAATATCAAAAATTGCGAAAAAAAATGTGAATTTACATGTCTTATGTAAAATAACATGAAAAACCTGTATCTGTGATTAACCATAACATTTCTGTTATTTTAAAGAAAATATTGGTTTTTTTGACATAAACAAACTGTTACAATACATTCAGGAATTTCCCGTATTTTCACAAATATTATTTTTATTATTTAAAATAAAAAACTGTTAAAAATAAGTTTAATACTGTAAAAACATTTCTTAAACTTGGTACAATTAGTAACAGTTAACCGTAACAAAAAAGGATTGTTCTGTAACTTGACATAGATTTTCTTGTTATTTGACAAATATCTCCTTTAATTATGGATATTTAGAAAATAAAAACATTGAATAAATGTTATTTTAATCAGTATATAGTGTCTACAAGTTTGTTAAACTGTCCAAACACAGTTTTGATCATTGAAAACAGCCATAACTACTGTAATTTCACAGCTTTTGACTTTTATTATAATTCTTAGATTACAATTTAGATTAACATAGTATATAATTGCCCCGAAGTGGTAAAATTACAGAAAGGTAATATTTAATTTATTGTTAAATGACAGGCGTTTACACCATTTAATGGGGGTTAAAAAAGAAAACTTCCTGTAAAATTATGGGTTTGTGATGAAAAATTAATTTTAATGCCATTTTACAGATACTTGATTGAAGAGTCTTAGCTATAGGTGTCTTATCAAAACCTAAAGTAAACATATTTAAATACTGTTTTTTCATAATTAAAAATGACATGTTCACATTATTACATTATATCCATTTATC